AGTCAATCCCTGCTGCCTCCCCCAGACCCTGGGATGAAACAGCAGCTGGACATTGTCCCCTTGGATGAGACCATGTGTGAGAAGAGCATTTCCCACCCATCATGACCAGGTGTGGCACATTGATTTAGCCTGAAAAACTCTGATTCCGTTTTCAGGAAATTTTAGAGGGCTGGAGCCTCCCTGCTCTGGGACAGACCGGGAGAGCTGGGGGGGCTCACCTGGAGAAGAAAAGGATCCAGGGAGAGCTGAGAGCCCCTTGCAGGGCCTAAAGGGGCTCCAGGAGAGCTGGAGAGGGACTGGGGACAAGGCATGGAGGGACAGGACAAGGGGAAATGGCTTCAAACTGCCAGAGGGCAGGGAGAGATGGGATATTGGGAAGGAATTGCTGGCTGGGAGGGTGGGCAGGCCCTGGCACAGGTTGGGCAGAGAAGCTGTGGCTGCCCCTGGATCCCTGGAAGTGTCCCAGGCCAGGCTGGACAGGGCTTGGAGCACCCTGGGCTGGTGGGTGTTCCTTTCCGTGGAATGAGATGGGCTTTAAGGTCCTCCCAAGCCAGACCTGTCTGGGATTCTGTGATTCCATGAAATTTTGCCCAGAAGTTCTGTGGGAGGCTCTTGCCAGGCTGCCAGAGCAGAGCCAGCTGCGATCCCAATCCCATCCCAGTGTGGATGGAGGGGAAGCAGGGTGAGCTCTAACCCAGCTCTGCTCACCTGCCCTCAGCCCCTGCAGCAGGGCCTTGGCACACGGGTGGCACTGAAGTGCCCGGGTCTGATCAGGCTTGATCCCAAACCAGAGCTGAGTTTCAGGTGTCAGCAGCCAAGAGCTTTGGGCAGCGCAGGGCCACCGGCACGTTCCGAACATCCCCTTCCCCTGCAAACACTAACAGCATTTCTGGAGGGTTTGGGCTGGTTCCTGCCCCCACCCCCCCAGGCCGCTGTCCCGAGGCAGAGCCCAGCAGAGCAGCCCCCTGGGGAGGGTGTTCCACGTACCATAGTTCTCGGAGGAGGACACGTAGGTGAGGACGAGCAGGGCGACGTTCTCCAGCAGGTTGAGCAGCAGGGTGCAGTGGCACAGGCGCAGGTAGCGGGGGTGGGAGCAGTGGCAGCTCTGGTAGTGGTTCCAGTAGGCCACGGCCACGAGGAAGCGGGGGGCCGAGTGCAGCCCGATGCACAGGCGCCACACGTAGCGCTGCGGGGTCTCGCCCCCGATGGCCGCGCTGATGGACGGCAGGTAGTTGGGCACCTGCGCGGAGACAGCGGCTCGTGGGGCGCACGGGGAGGGGGCACGAGCTCTTAGAGGAGCTGAAGCCGCCTCTTTTAAACCCTAAGTAAGTTTATTCCTATTTCCACAGCCAGGGAACGTCACCCCCCCCCAGGGCTGGGCAGCCCCAGCCCTGCTGCGACAGTCCCGAGTGCTGGGGGGGTCTCAGCTTTACACTTTTGATCTTTCAGAGAAGTCCAGAAAGTTTGGGTTGGGAGGGACCTCAAAGCCCACCCAGTGCCACCCCCTGCCATGGGCAGGGACACCTTCCACCAGCACAGGCTGCTCCAAGCCCTGTCCAACCTGGCCTGGGACACTCCCAGGGAAGAATTCCTTCCTAATATGTCATCTAACCCTGCCCTCTCTCCATGGGAAGCCACTCCCCCTTGTCCTATTGCAACAGGCCCTGCTGAAGTTCTCCTGCTGGAGTGAGGTGACTCCTGCCCTGTGTTCCCAGCTCAGATCCAGCTGCTCGTCCAGCAGCTTGACAGCTCTGGGGAGGAACCCATTGGGGTTCCTCATCCCATTGGGGACTCCAGACCCCCCCTCCTGAGGGACGTGCCTGTGACTCCTCTGAACCCCAGCACATCTGGGGGGCAGCAGTTCTGGGCCTGTCCTTCCACAGGACAGTGTTTTCCCTGCAGCTTCCCCATCGTTTTCCCTCAGCACAATCACCCCAACATGCCCGGTACAGACACCAGCCAGACCAGCCTGTGCTTCCCTTGGTCCCATTACCAAGGCAAACCCGGTCCCGAGGGATCACAGGGACAGTGGAACTAAGTGGCTTGTTCTGGGTTCTGCAGCACTGCTGGGGGGAAAGCCCAAGGGCAGGAAAGGAGCCCGGGAGGGGAGGCAGAGATGGGGGAGCCCAGGAGCAGAGAGGGGGGAGCCCCCCAGGAGGAGGGAAGGAGAGGGAGGAGCCCCGGAGCACACAGGAGCTCTGCCTCCCCTCTGGGTGCCCCAGCCCCAGAGGAATCCGTGTTTTCCCACTGGGAATCTCTCACCCCGCAGTGGGTTGCAGTCGTCTCATGGAAGTGGAAGAGGAGGGACCAGATCACGCAGAAGAGGAACCCAAAGAGGGGGCAGAACACGGTGCCCAGGGCCAGCGTGGTGAAACGCAGCCGGAACAGGATCCCATCCCGGTCCAGCGGCAGCGGCACCTGCAGCATCTTGGGGAACCTGAGAACAAACAAACAAACAAACATCTGGCGAGGGTTCCCCCTCCTCCTGCTCTGCTCCGGGTGACAGTGTGGGTGGGCATTGGCCTCCATGGCCTGGGAGGGCCTTTCCAACCTCAGTGACTCCGGGATTCTGTCCAGTCCCACAGAGCCCAGGGCAGGGATGGACACACCGCTGAGCTCTTCACCCCCTGAGTGACCCACACAAACAGGGCAGGGATGGACACACAGATCACCCCTCACATCCTGAGTGACCCACACAAACAGGGCAGGGATGGACACACAGATCACCCCTCACCCCCTGTGTGACCCACACAAACAGGGCAGGGATGGACACACAGATCACCCCTCACACCCTGTGTGACCCACAGACGGGCAGAGGGACACAGGAGCCCCAAGACTCACAGGTCAGAGGGAGCAGGGGCAGAGGGACCTGCAGGCAGTGGCATGTCCCTGCAGCCCTCCAGACTGATCTGGCTGAAGGACACGTGAGCCCTTTCCCGTGGGATCCATCCAGACCGTTCCCTGGCTCGGGGCACGGCACACATTGCTCACGGGGTCGGGCACAGCAGGACAGGCCCCTCCAGCCCCTCCATCCGCCGGGGGTCCCCCCATGGTGCCCCCAGGGGATCAGCTGGGACCGATCCCCCCCCCTCCCCGCCCGGCCCGGGACAAATCGGATTTACACAAGGGATTTACCGAGGGACCACCCGGGGGCAGGGCAGGGGCATCATTTGCGGGAGGGAGGTAAAAAAAAGCCCCAAAGGGGCTGGAGGTGCAGGGGGTCCCCCCGGGGAGGAGAACCTGGGCTGGCCGGGGCCCCGGCCAGCCCAGGTTCTCCTCCCCGGGGGGACCCCCAGCCCTGACCCACGGGCACCCCATACACCCCTGAGACACCCAAAAACCACCCCGGCCACCCCATATACCCCTGAGACCCCAACCCCCCCCCCAAGGGCTGCGCATTGAGCGACCCCACCCAAGACG